GACTGAAGGTACAGCCAATATCAGGACTTACTTTGACACAGTTGACTTACAGGGGAATGAGAACTTGTGTGTTACTGGTCAGTGAATATTCTTCAAATTCCAATTGTCAGCTCAGTACCTGATTTCTTATTTTTGAGAAGATGTGTTTCTTCTTGACCAATATAGTGAGATGTTCAAAGAAATACTTTGATTCTTTTTTCCTTATTTTAGGACTAGTTGATTCTTTCTTCCTTGTTTTAGAACTAGTCAAATTGCCCTGGTTGTGCAATACGGTCCTTGCTGCATTTGCTGTCCCAGCACAGCAGGAAATGAAACAATGAACAGGAAAGAAGACAGGATGGCCAAGGGGGCAGCTGTCCTGATTTGCTTCCTGCCTTGCCAGCCTTGCTGGTTATCCGTGTGGATAACTACAGGAGGCCGAGGGAGGCAGGACCGGAGGGCAGTTCGTCTCCCCTTAGCAGCACCTGCCTATGCAGGGCAGTGGAGCCGAGTCCTTTTGCTTGCAGTGATGCTGATGGAGGAGCTGCAGTGCCCGGGGCGCCTGCGGACTCTGAAGAAGCTGAAGGGGAAGCGGCTGAACAGGCTGCAGCCGCTGCCGCGCACCCTGCGGCTCCTCGGGCTGCTCCAGCTGGACGACAACCACCGCGTGAGCAAGGCGGCCACGTCCTGCCTCTGCCGGCTCGCAGCCAACAGGAGCTTACGGGAAAAGGTAGCGCTCTTCCTCCCCACTCGCCGTGATACGTGCAGCTCATTCCCTCCTAGAACGGCACTTCTGTCCTCTATGCTCTTCATTAATCTGTTAACTAGGACCCAAAGCCTAGGAGTGCTGAAGAGATTCATCTAGGTTCTTAATTCAGTCTCAAATAAAATGGTGCTGATAGGTAAAAATGGGCTGATGTTGGCGATCTGAATTTGATTGATTGCACTTGAGCTTTAACACACTGTTTTTTTCTCCCGCTCTCCCCTCCCTTCCCTTAAAGGCTCTGCTCTTTTACACTGGTGTTTTAGCTGACTGTGATGCAAGGCTTCAGCAAGCTGCGTGTTTGGCCCTCAAAAACCTCAGAGTAAGCATTTAAACTTATTCTTGCTTTTTACTGTGTGCATCTGTCCAAAACTGATGGATGCAAGAGTGTATTTTAAGCTGTTGAAATTATTTTTTCCAATTTTCTGGTATTTGGAATTAATGATTTTTTGGGGGCTTCCAGAGTTCTGGACTATTACTGCTGTTATTGAAAAGGCAGCAGGCCCAGGCAGCTCAGTCTCAGTGTCAGCAATCTTAGCTGTGATACAGCAGGCAGAGGACAAGGTTAGAAAAGAACCTTTCTGACTTCTACACTGTTGTTACTGGCAAAGGACATCCACCATTTAGAAGCAGAAAATCTAAAGATAAATCAATTAATCTTATTTTAACAGTAGCTGATTATAGTCACAAATACAAAGAATATTTGCACTGATTCTGTAAGAAACTGTCAGAGTGGATTTAAAGCCTACAAATCTGTAATAGATTTGTTTACACCCAAGAGGTTATTTCAGTGCAGCTTCTACAAGCAGGCAGTCACAAGACGGGCCCCCCAAGGCCACCGAGTCTCACGCTCAGATAAGGTGGGATTTGCAGAGCAGTCACTGCCCTTGCAAAACCTGGGCCCTAGAACTGGGCAGTGACCTGGGCCCTTTTTCATGCCCTGAAACAGGAGAGAAAGTGCCGGAGAGAAGCTTAAGCTCAAAAAAAAAAAAAAATCAACTGTAATTGGAGATGCTGGGTTGAATTGGCATCTATTCACTTTGCTGAAAATATTAATCAAATGCTTTTTAAAGAGCTACCTTTGCTGTTTTTCTCTTCTTGAACAGGGCATAGAAAGCATTGAGGAGGTTGCCCATCTGTGCCAATCTGAAGTAGAAGAAGTTCGAAATGCAGCCAGGGAAACAACACTGTCATTTGGTAAGTGTTTTGTACAGCACGCACGTCACCTGTCATTATGTAAGACACACAGAGTCATACRTAATATTGCAGAAACAAAAGAGGCCTGGAGTTCTACCTATGTGTTGTTCAGCCTAATATCATCTAAGACTTCAGAAACGCTTCAGTAGTGACTATTTCATACCTTTAAGATAAACTTTACCACAAAAAATAAGCAAAGGCTCCCTTTGAAGGATGTAGACCCAGACGAGGGGATGTCTGGAGGATGAAGTGCTGTAAGAACTACTGAAGAATTTAAAGGAGGGACAGAAGGTACAGAAGTGCTGACAGCGCTGCTGGGGTACTTCATTACCTGCATCAGCAATTTTCAGATTTTGGTAAAATGACATTTGAACATGGCCAACCACAGTAAAGTCAGTTCTAGCTCTACTAGAGAAGCGGAAAYGCATTGAAAGATCTTTTATGCAATGTAGAACCAACAGACTTATCTCTTCCTGGTAATCTTAGCAGCAGCCACCTAAAACTCACCAGTTACTTGTAACTCTGATGGTGCTGTTCTCCTCCAAACTGCTCCACTGTGAATACCTGAGTAGAGATCCAGCAAGGTCTTGTACTGATTTGGTACCTGTTACTTCCACTGAATTCAGCACATTTACGTGTTGTTGAGCTGCTAACCAGATGGCAGTGTTCTAAGCTAATCTCCCTGCCATCATGTAATAAAGGGAAAGGGGAAATACCTGGACTATTGTAGCTTTCTTAAACACATAGCACCTAGACAGGATAACAGATAACTGCTCTATTCTGTTCCTCCTGAACACCCAGATTCAGGCTTAGTTCGGTATATCTAGACTTCAAAAAATACTGATTAAGGTATGTGACAAAACAAGTTTTCCAAAGGTGACACACCAGATCATTAGTCAAGAGCACTTCTAAACTGTTACCTTCTCAAGCTGTTTCCAGYAGGTCCTTGCCTAAGCACAGGGTGTGTTTCTCTTTCTCTGCAGGTGAAAAGGGCCGCCAGGCCTTTGAGAAGATGGACAGGATTTGCTGTGAATTAAGAGACACTGTACATCAAGAGGCTGAAATTGAAATCACAGTGTTTTAGTAGTGGAATATGAGGAGTTAAATCACATTGTCTCCAAGGCTGCCAGCTGTTGGTACCTGAAGATCTTAGTTTGTTGTTTACACGTGTGGTTTGCTTACACTCTGTATATGCACTCTGCATTTACAGAGTGCAGCTTTCCAGAATGGGCAGTGTGAAACCTAGACTAAGTAAGGTGGAATCTCRGTCTTTTTCTCTGTCAGCACTGGTGAAATCTCAAGTGCTGGAAGAACACAAGATCTCCTGGAATACAGAACCAGGTTGTCACTTGAGTTAAATCATTGGAAATGTCTTCTCCTGCTCAAGCTGTAAGTCAAATCTGATCCTTCTTCCGAAGGATTTTATTAATTTGTCATGTCTCAGAAAGGAATGAAACGATAATTCTCCAGCTTCCAGAGCAYAACAGTTCATCTAGAAACTTGTCTAGTGAACTCAAATGTTGGATGTTACTGCCAGATGCCAAAATGCACAACGCTTACGTAATGCATAATGAGCCCCAAAAATGCTTGTAAGGATTTGTAATCGCTCTTTAAATGCAGTGAAAGCTGGTTTCAGTTAGTGCAGAAATCTTAAGAGACTTTGGTTCCAGAAACAGTTCATTGTATCACGTGAGTGACTGAGAATTCGTTGGGTGGCAGAGGCGCTGCGGACGTGAGCGAGCCCTGGCTGCTTCCATGCTGGGATCAGTCAGTTCTGCTTGCAGCCCAGCAGCCACTGCTGTCAGCAGCCACATCCATCAGGATCTGGCGAGTGGCACCTACCTTTTCTGTACAATTTATTTTCAGAAGGAAGGTCTGTTACTTCAGCAGCTCCTCTTGTTTGTAAACATCACAACTTGGGCAAGTTTCAGGCAAGGACTGGTTAGGGCAAAGCAGAGTGCAGCCTGAGCAGTTTGCAACAGGAAGCTTTGTATTTTTCCTCAGCTGTATCTGCCGTGTATAGATCTGACTGGCATGGGGCCAGACCTGTGTAAGTTTTTGCCTTTTTAATGTATATTTTATCCATGTAGTCATTAGCCGGGATTTCTCATTGTCACATGCCGCGGGTCACACTCCTTACTCAGTACGTGTTGCCGGTAGCAAAGGGTGGCCACAAAGAGAAGTCTGACTTCAGGTAAAATACTTGAAAGATTTGACTTGTGTGTATATATATTATATAAATAGTACTTTTCTATTCAGTATTTATTTGTGGGATTTCATACTGTTTTCTATACCTGTAATAAAATATTTGAGACAAGTTCCTGTCCGCGCTTTAACGCTGCTGCTTCTGCTTTAGGGAATTCCCGGCTTCTTGTTTATGTCCTTGGGGGACAGAGCTGGGAAGTGCATGTGACAGGGGCAGCTTGTCCCCTTTTTCATGCTACGGTCTAAGGTAGGTGCTGGGAGGGGCCCAGGGGCAGGACATGGAAATCTACCTGAGCTGCCTTCATGCTGCTTCAGGAAACTAATGGAAATTCTTTCCACGCAGCTCTTCTCCATTTGTAACGTTCTTTAAAAAACATAAATGAGGTGAATACCTTGATCTAAGGTGGGGATGTGACAGCTGCATCTCCCTAAGTACAGTCAGGCGGGTTACAGGACGCTGTGGCACTTTCCTACCCACCAGAGCTGMTGTTAGGGGACCAAACACTTTTAAAAAGCACTTGGGTCCAAGTCCCTGTGCTTGGGCTCTACACTAACTCCCACGCCAGGCGGGTGGCAGGCAGCAGGACACTCACCTCACTGGTGTTCTTCTAGTGGAGAGCTGACCTACAAAGATGWTCTCATTTAAAACATTTTCCAGTAAAAACTTTAGTTGTGTTAGTCCAGATTTGCAAGTGATCCAAATCAGGAGCCAGTGTTTCGCATTCTGAGAAGACAAGAAGTGGAAAGACTCATAGGTACGTTCTTTAAAAAAAAGAATTTTATTGTTACAACTAAAATGAGAACTGAAAAGTTGTATGGGAAATTGAAAAACTGTACAATCTTACTATAACCTGTGAGGTCTTTGCAGTGGCTTACACAAAAGACAAGATACCTGAAAATGTATTATACCAAAACATTTAGCTTTTTTGTTTTTTATTTTTTTAAAAAAGTTTATTCTATGGCAATCTGTAAAAAAGAAAGACCTGATGAGTAAATATTTGCTTAAGGCATATAGCAGAGCAGCTCACTAACTTTCTAACAAGTTTAACATGGATATTTGTCCATTTTCCAAGAATAGGTTAACCAATACACCCACTTTGAAACGCTACTGTATATACACACCCAAACTACTACATACATATACAGGACATCAAAACAAAAACGTTTACAGTTCAGTACTGTAAGCCTTATACACACCTCACGGGGCGTACGGGGTAGTCTGCTGTCTCTCCCAGGACACTATGAATTCTCCTGGGTTTGTAACAGATTTAAGAAGTAGCAAAGTCCAATGGCAGAAAGGGAGATAATTGAAGCTTTGTGTAGTTTTTTTTTTTTTTTTTTTAAATAACTTGTAAGCACAATACAAGTGGATGGTGCTGGATTCAAAGGGAGAATGCTTTGCTCTCCTGTCAAGCCTAAAACTGAAAGCATTCCCCCTTGCAAACAACAGAGGAAGTATTTTTATTTTTTATAATGTGTGCGTGTGGATATATATATATACAATTATATATATATAAATAATTTTGGGAGTTTTTTTTGGAAATGGGCCACCCTTCGGGGAGCCTGTGTCCCTGCTCTTGCAGAAGGGGCTGCCCGCTCTCCTCGCATGCAGCTCGGGAGGCAGCAGGGCCGGCGGGTCGCTGCCAGCCCTGGCGGAGGGCGAGGTGTGGATAGGGCTTGGCCAGCGCCTTGGAATGTCTGTTCTGCACCGAGGCCGGCCCCGCGCCGCGCTACAGCCGCCGCGCACCAACTCGAGCACAGGGCAGGCCCCGCGACGGGCGGGCGCRTCACCGGCTCACACCGAATCGGCCGTCGCTGAACGGAGCTACTTGCAGCAAAACCACAGCCACCTAACCATCGGTTCATGCAAATACACTTTGGGCACATCAGTAAGCAGAATGTAAGTTCTTTCATCTTTCAAGCATGKGGTATTTAATCAGGATGCTAGAAGACTTTACATGCATCTTAATACAAAGGGGGAGTATAGATGTTGCCTTAGAACAATATCCTACCAGATGATTGAGAGAATAGTGGGGACAAAGCAATCACATACTGTATCTTAAATACACAGATGAGCCATTATATATTACCATTTTTCTATACTCATTTTTCACGTTTCCAATAATATTACTAAATATCAACTGATTACAACATTCCTCCTTTCAAGTACTGGTCTGACCAACAGTCTCACAGGTAAAGTATTAAGTCCCAGTACTACCTGAGGATTAGTTATTATTGTACTTTTGAGAAGCCCTTGATGCAAGCTTAATAAAACACAGAACAGAAGTAACTCCTACCCCCTAGTCACCATCCCAGCCATCAAAGGAAAAGAGCAACACCCAGAGACAGCTTTGTGAAAATAAATATGGAGTGGAAAGCCTTACACGAGCTGGATACTCCATAATGCTGTTTGTACTGAGAATGGTGCTTAAGTGCTATAAACCTAAAAGGTCTTGATCAAACAAAAAGAACTAACACTGTTGCAAACCASTTGTCAGGGTTGAGTTGCAGTGACTCCAACTTTCAGTAGTGGGTTTGCTCCTCTCCCCACGACACAAGGAAAGATCTTTGCTGTTACTGCCTCATGATTTGGTGCCAGTGAGGACCAGCACTGACCAGGGCGGCTCAGTGCCGACAGCCCCGCAGCCCCGTCCTGTTCCCAGGCTCTTGCCACGAGCGGAGCCCTGGGCCTGCCCACCGGGCCTCGAAGCCAGCACCAGATGCCGGCCGCTACGGAGCAGAACCCTCCCCTCCTCCTGRCTCCCCTTCCCTCAGTTCCCTTCTCCCCAGCTCCTTTCCCCCCATTCCCTTCCCCTCTTTCCCTTTGCTCCCTTCCTCCTGGCTCCCTCCCTGCCTTCCCTCCAGGTCCCTTCTTCCCAGCTCCTTCCCTTGGCTCCCTGCTCTCCAGCGGCGGCGGCGCCAGCCCCGGTGCCCGCAGGCRGCCAGTGCTCAAGCGCAGCCGCCGTTGGGAAGCTTGGCTCCAACACGCGCACGGCACAAGGGCGGCACAGAGGGCTGTTCCAGTYGGACACCAGCGCATCTTCTGCTCAGCTGTTTGCATGTTAAGGAAGCTGCCACGGCATCAATTGCTCTGCCTCTCCTGAAGGGCTTTCCCGGCCACGCGCGACGCTCCCCGTACGTCATTGCTCCGTCCCTTGCGGAAACGCTGCTAGTTTGCGGAAAGCAGATTTAGAGTGAAACTACATTTTACATTCCAAATGATGAGGTTTAAGAACTGGTCCTTCTAAATGCCAGCTGAAAGCTGTAAAATGCTGGTGGACGGCTTGGTTTGGTCAAATTGCCCTTCCCATTCCCCCCCTTCCCTCACCCCTCTCCTAACCCAGGACACAAAGGTAAAAACAGCTTTACAGAGGATGGTACAATGTAAATAGGCATATGTGCAAGTAGAGTGCAACAAAAGTCAATGAGGAGATACATTAAAAAGAAAAAAAAAAAAATAAAAAGAAGCGTGACCTGTTGGGATACCCTGAGCAAATGCAGAAGCCTGTTTCTATAAACACATACAAAACAATAAGCTCTTTAAGAACAGTTATGCCAAGATTAAATATATCAATACCACAGGCACTGCCCACAACTCAGTCTTTAACAGATGAAGCAAAAAAAAAAAAAAAAAAAAAAAAAAAAAAAAAAAAAAAAAGCCCTCCCCTTCCACAATGTTTACATTCTTCAGATACATGGGGTTCTCTTTTTTTTTTTTTTTGGGAACTCATCAGTATAAGTCATGTATTTGGTTACAACACTTGGAGAGTACAAGCAAGTTTCACTTGTGCCTAGTTTTCTGAAACACAAAAGAAAAAGAACTGGCTTTTTTAAAAAAGGCTAAAAACAACAATGTGTTGTAATTCTATTATTTAGTTTAAAAAAAATCAAAAGAAAAAATAACAAAAGAAAAACAAGACTATTTGGCATTTTTTCTGCTTACTCCTGAATATTTTAAGGCCCTGAGATTAGAATATTATGTTCTTGGGACCACAGGGCTAGATTAAACCCTAGTGCATCAATTCTCTCTTTAAGCCCTAACCAAAGTTCCAGCGTTTCAACCTAACATCTATTTCCACTGAGACAAGGCTCCCGTGCCTCAATTAGCTTTCTTTCGTAGAAGCTTATTACAAACCCATCAGATCGTTGGTGTTTCCTGCAGGCTCCATCTTGCCGGCATGTCCATCAATGAAAACACACCCGATAGCAGAGATAGGCTCCCGCCGTGAGGAAGGTGAACATGCAGATATTCACTAGAAAGGGCTTCCAGGTGCTCATCACATTCTCATCGTCCTCTTCCACGCTTTCCGACTTCATTGACTCTTCTTTGTGGGGCGAGGGGTGCAGGTTTTCCCCAACAGTTCTCCTCCGAATTTCAGTGTCTTGACTAATGCTGAAGGACAGAGCAATGAACACTCAGGACTGGGTTCTCCCCGCGGCCTCCACGGGCCCCTCCCGCTCATCAGCCCAGCAAAGCTCCAAGTCACGTACGAGCGGCTGCAGCACACGACAACACAGGCACTTCTCGTTGTTAACTTACATCTTTTATAGCCACTGAAACGGCACTAGCCAGCACAACCAAACCTACACCTGGATCAGGAGAACATGAAGGTTGAAAAATCTCCCCAAAAAACCTTTATTTCCCACCCCTCCATCTCTTCCAGTCCTTYGCTGTTCCGCATCATTTTTTTTAAACATCGGACTGCTCGTCTACTCACTGCTTCTTTCCCCTGCCCAATTTACAGAGGGACACGTTTCAGGTTTGTTTAGACAGAACTATGCAAATTATTTCCAGGAAATCATTATTCACTGAAAAATAAATAGATTTATAAAGCTCATGAGATGTGGGACACCAACCTGACACTCATACTTTTAATGAGGTATAGAATGTGTTATTTGTCATCTCGTATCTCACGTAAATACTGTGATATTGGAACTATTTTGTCACTGAGGGAAGAAAGAGGTAAGAGGTTCAGATCACAGTCATGACCTCTCTAGGAGATGGGATTGCAGAAAGACTGCTGAAAATTCATCTCTGATTTCCAGAGCCCAACCACCCAATTACAGCTCTTATTGATCTGCCTAAATAAAATACATGCATTTTGTCAGCTGCATCTGYTGAAAAGGCTCTCGAGTTCTGTGGAAAATACTAAAGTTTAATTAATACTCTTATTCCAGTATTCCTGCCGGAAGCTGAAGAGGTCTTATTAGGAGACCACCTGCTGGGGGACATTGAGCTTGTCCTTTCCCTGATTATCTCTGCTGGATTTGTTTGTTTTTCCCCYTTCTGTTTTCATTTCTCCTGGCTCCCCACAGCATTCCCGTCACTGCTCTGGCCAGGGGCGCTGCGAGCCCGTTTCGGAGTTTTCTGCGCTGGTTTTGACGCATTTTGAGCCCTCCTGCACAGCAGCAGTGACACCTGGCGGCCAAGGACACCGGCCCGAGTGCTCTGGTGTCACCAAGCTCCCCAACAGCACTTCTGCACATTCACCAGTCCTCACAGTTCAGGGTTAGGCTGCAACGACAGGCAGAGAAGTTTCCTGCTCACGACCCCCTGCCTCTCCTTTGGCCAGCAGCACCTTGGGATTCATTTCACRTCTTAAGGGTGATCGAGAGCCCAGCCTTCAGCTCCACGACTAACTCCACTCTAACTTCTGAAAGACTCCTCTGTAACTTAACATGTTCTGTACGTAAACCCAGACTAAACCATCTCCTTTTTCTTTTACTCCAGTGCATCCCACAAACGGCCCTAGTTTGTGCGAGCAGTTCAAAGAACACGAGCATGAAAAGGATGTCCAGATCCAGCTTTCCGGACTGCTACACCAGCTCACGAGGATCAGCTCGGGACCTTTTGTACGGAACGCCATTTAAGCACAAGCTCCCTACAAGGCCTCCGAGCYGCAAGGCAAGTGGCCCTCTTGCTGGGACAGGTAACATGGGAAGGAGAGCCCGGTACCTGTGGGTGTCGGGCGGCGCGGGGCAGCGCGCCCGGCCGGGAGCTGCCTCCTCCGCGGTGCTCTCCAAGCTGCCGCCCTCGTCCTCGGCCGCCGGGTGCCTGGGGAAGGGGCCGCCGTGCTCGGGCATGCGGCCGTTGTGCAGCTCCGAGGTGCGCTTGGGCGGCCGCGGCGGCGGCGGCGCCTGCTCCGGCGGCGGCTCCAGGTCCTCCTTGGAGAGCTCCTTCCACTGCTCCTTCACGGGAGGAAACACTCCTTTAAACCATCCTCAATTTAATCATTGCTTTCATGTAAGTTACTGTGACTTCTAACTTGAGCRTGGCAGAGGCTCTATATCTGAATTTCAAATTTATTTTTAGGGTGAATGTTCATATACATTGAAAATGAAAAGAGAAAATACACAGAAATAAACACACTCCTGGAAGTGTACAGAAGAGATTAGCTCCAAATTTGAGAAACTTTAAACTGCTTCTATATGAAGCTTTAAATAGCACAAAATTGAGCCTGTGTTGTTAGGGTTCTGTTTAGGAGACTGTGATTGTGTTAAATCACAATACTTAAAATTGTGGCATATTAGAAAACTGCTGCTATCCAAAAGGGAAGGCCGAACTGATGGAAGCCAGGGTTCAGCTTGGTGAGATCACTGAGAAGCATCTCTTATACAGGGGCCAGCTAATGCACCRCAGGGCTACAAGTTCTTTTATGAAGAAATCACATAGTAAAGCATGTCTTATATTTAAGAATCCCATATAATAAACTTTCATTCATGTTCAAACAAACAAAAAATTCAAAGGTTCCTTCTATCATGTCCATGCCAGAAAATGTTTGTTAGAGTCAAGAGAGAGTTGCAGCTTACTGCAATAGTCTGGCTAGTATCAAAAATACTCACTTGCACCGAAGCATCTCCCATAATGAATTTTGCCCCTTCAATAACAGCTAAATAGGAGAAGCGAAGCTGGTCTGCTGTCTGTATAAGGCCCATTCGGTACTTCCTCATTTCTAGAAGAACCTGCTTAACATCCACTGAAGAAGGATCTTTTCTTTTGTCCATCTAGAGAGAAAAAATTGMAACCTGCTTTAGGCTCTCATGAAATCCAATACAATTACTCATTCTGTAGTAGAGAATTAATGAATTAATAAAAATCTGGTATCAGCTATGCTTCAGTTTCTAAGAARACAGATAGGTACTGCTCCACGGGATCTCCAAGATCTTGTCATTATTTCCTTTTGATTCTTTTTTTGAAATAAAAGGAGACATTTTAACCTAGACATGGCTCTGTGCATTAACTGCTCCTACAGAGCAGCACAGTGAAGGTTTGTGAATCAGGACAGGATCCCCCAGCCTGCAGGGAAAGCTGATGGGTTTAAAAGAAGCTCATTAGATTTTTCACTGTATCAGAATAATTCACACTATTACTTATTCCAAATCAAACCTGATTTTTTCCTAACTATGAGAGCAAGGTCTCTCTTTGTAGGACATTGTTATTAGAGACTTTTCCTCCACATGCTCAGAATGACSTGGTAAGAGAGGGCTGCCTCAGCTTGAAAGGGGATACGCCTGCTTGAACTGCCAAACTAGAACTGAGTAAAACAATAACTTGCAACAAGACTCCACAGAAAACGCTGTGGCTCCGTGTCAGCCTACAACAAACCACCCCCAAATAGCTCCACAGAGCTACAGCATTTCTCCACCACGCAGGATAAGCAGTTCTTACCAGCAACAGACACGTATCAACCAAGCAAAAAGTCCCCGACCTCCCGATTCCTGCACTGCAGTGCACAACGACAGGTCCATGCTCAGGGCTGAGGGAGCCAGACTCTCTCACTTTGAACAGGAAATTGAGGAATGAAGCAGGTGACTCTGGAACCCCAAAGTCAGGCCACGTAGTATAATGAAAGTGCAGAATCTCTCTTGTTCCATGTGTCTGTAAGAGAAGGTATTTATAAAGTCTTTTAGCCTGGAAATAAGCGTCAAGGCATAGTTTCCTACAATAATGTTCTTGGGAGCAAATGCCATTCCTAGCATGTTCATTTTCCTTGCAAATAATCTCTTTTTAACATGGTTGGGCATTTTTAGCTTTAGGTCAACTTCATATTTATTCATTTGGAAAAACTGTAGCCACTTCCTTTAAAAATAACCCTGTGATTTTTATGGAATGGAGGGGTGCGTGCACAGCTTTTTATGACATTCATGCTGAATTACTTCCTCTCACAAACTACATTACAGGAACTTAAGCTGTTCGTAAAACAGCAACTTCAGAACAGCTGACTTTTTATTTCAAATGACAAAGTTCCTCTAGTCTGAGATAGCTTTTATAGCTACATAGCTAAGAAGCTATCTTGTGTTTTGCTGTGAAATTCTCAGTATTTTRAACAAAGGAAATGAGATATGTAAATTTACATATGTATAACATGGTTTAATTTTTCAGTACCGTTAAAATACTATATCTCAGGGCCTGCCAGTTCCCACAGGCAGAATATCATCTCAGCATTTCTCAAAATTAAGTGTCTCAAGCCACACAAGCCCTTTACCATTGCTGGGACCAAAAACCTCTCCCTGTCACAGCCCTTCCTTTCAGGCTTTGTTCCYGCTTTGAAAACTTTCTTCCAGCATTACTAAGCTCCTAGTGCTGACATCGTCCTAGAACCCCTAGCCACAGCTTTAAAATACATGTCTGTGGCAAACACTGTATTTAAGTCACACCACAAACTACAACCACCAAATTCTTACTCATTCAGGTACAATTTGGCTGGCCAAATTAGTAACTCCTAACTGCTCACATTTGTTAGCAAGCACATTTCAAGTGTGTGAAGCTAAGAGAAGAACTGAGGAATAACTGCACCTCAGCAATGCAGCAGCGAGCAGCAGCAGGACAGAGCGGCCACGCAGGATCTCACATCTCGCTAAATCTACAACAAAAATCTGATGGAATTGATGGCTCCCCCATCGTTACGGGGAGGCAAGTCTCGCCTGAGAGAAGTTAAAGGATGTGCTTRGTCGTGGTGTCTGTACTTACTGTAAGGTTTTCCAATTCTAGCTGTCGTACTGTGTAATATGATTTTATATCTTCAGATATCAAGGTTAGTTTCAAGTTTGTATCTTCAAAAAACATTTCTTTCTCTTCCTTCTGTGGCCAGTACTGTGCACATTTTATCTAAAAATAAACAGGAACAATTCATATATATCATTTATGTTAGTGTAAAAGGCAAAGTAGTAAGTGTATGTAAATATAATATTTTCCTATATGACCATWTCATGATCTGCCTTTATTGTAAGAAGACACAATTCTACTGTGAGGGACATTAGTCATGTTATAAATTTCAGAACCATGTCCTGAGTGAATCTTCTGGGTATGTCAGATTATTTTGAACCTGACTGGACTCACCAAAATACCTACAGCTCAAAGGCAGCTTTGGGTAAGTAGAAATCTTTTTATTCCACACGTGAGCTGAAAGAGTGCACGGCTGCCCTGCACCGATACAGAATCTACTCAGAATCACCAAAAATGTGTTTGATTTTGGCCTGTGTCAGACTAATGATAATACCAATAAAATATAGCAACTTCTACATATAGAAGCTATCAGAACACTCTGCCAAAACCTGAGTTTTACTCTACTCAGCATTTTATATATATTATCCTCGTGTTAAAATAGTTAAATATTTCAAAAGAAGGGAGAAATGTTAACAAGAAAAAGAGCAGAACACACAAAACTGTATGAAAAGGGATTATGAATTCAATTAGTAAGCTATAAACAGAGAATTACAATGTTACTAATTTGCAAGGGTAATGCTTAATGAGATTTTGCATTACTCCATTCACTCTCCCCAAAGTAAAACAACAATAAAAAAGAAAACACATGACATAGTTTAAAAGGGCCAAACAAAAATCCTGTAATCTGCAAATATACCTATTACCTGCTTCTGACTGAATTTTGATATTTTCAGTGAATTTTTTTTTCAGTGCTCTTAGTTTTCCAATAAGGCTGTTAAATGCTAGAACCTTAAATGAGTCAACCAAATAGGAAAATAACACATTTTTCCCATACTGGGAAAAAACAAAACTAAAGAAACTCTTCAGCAACACAAATAGGCAAGTCTGCAACACAGTTTCTGACCATTCACCCTGGGGCATTACGGCTATGGCTGCTGGCTGCTGCTTCTGCAGTTATACGCTGCTCCTTCAAAATGGAATTAAGACCTGCACTTGTCCAGACCTAAACTTGCAACAGGAACAAACTGCTGGTCTTCGGTAGTGCTTCTCATATCAAATTGCAAATAATAGGTCTTCAAGTGGAAAAAGCTTGGGAACAAGAAAAATGATTATTATGTAGTTGTTACCTAAGAGAAAAGTGCCGTTCTGCATATAATGGGAGCAGGGATGAGAAGGAACAGCATTCTCACCTCCAAGCGTTTCTTAGGGCATTTTAAAAAAATAAGAAAAGTCTTTTATTCTCTGCAGGCCAAGTAATTTCATTCCGCTCTTTCAAGCTTAGATACAGCAGTGCCTGGACTTATTCTAGATCTGCTTCTAGTCTTCTCCTCCAGTTTGTTAGTCACAATCCTCTGTGTTTTTGTATTAATATTTAAGAGACAGCAATTGGCTGCATGTCTAATTTCTCCACCAAATGTGTCTGCAAACAATATTCTGTTGAGCTTCACTGTAGGTCCCCCATTGCTATGCTTGCTGCCTGCCCTAAGGGATCACAATAATTCGTTTTGTTCAAAACTATTGGCAGTGAAGAGAAAGAGTGGGAATGGCTGGAAAGGAAGAAGCTATTGAAAAATACGGTTACTGCATCTCTTTAGAAGATTAAGTTTCACTTACACTACAAAAAAGAAAGCAGAACACTCACAATCAAGACTGCAGTTTGTTAAAATACAACTCACTGCATAAGAATTTTCCTAATTATTGGAAATCCCTGATTACACAAAAGCACAAACCACCCAGTTATCACCAGTGGATACACAACATGCCACCTACTCATCCTCTGAAGTGTCTTGTATTGCAACAGTCAATGTAAAATKGTGCATATCTATCAGTCTTTAAAATCACTTTTTGTCTTGTTTGCACAGAGGCCCAGTCCCGTTGAGGAGACAGGACAGCAGCCCTATTATCACCCAGGGACATTTCCGAAGCTGTGGATGACAAATTAACTCCAGCTCTGGCGGTTCCTGCACCATCCACCAGCAGCAGCCTGAGCCCTTTCCTCTGGGGACAGCAGCTGCTCTTTGTGCCAGAGGAACCAGTTTATTTCACCCATCTGAAGGCTAATTACCTAAAATTACCCAAATGGTTCATCTATTGTTCTCCTTTGTCTTTTGACTCTCTCATCTTCCTTAAGCTTCTTAAAATATCTGGGCAGAACTAAGCCCCCTGAGCTTGTCCTAGCAAGGAAACCACTGCACCAACACCCGTGCTTTGGATGAGCAGGTAAGACGAATGCTTGAGCTATTCCTGGGAAAAGAGCTCTTAATTGCACCCCAGCTTGCCTCATATTTGKGACATTGTTTTCAAAAACAGTGACACAAAGAGGTCAACACATATAAAAGTAGGTGTAATAATTAATCTCTTACTGCATGAAGGAAACTTCAAGTTAAAGTGCCTCTACAATTACTTTAAAGCCACCTGATAATGCTTGTGAATGAACAMGCGGTGTAAATGACCTCTGAAAGGTACAATCTCTACACAATCAAAAGCACATTCAAACATCCAGGTTAGCAATTAAGACCAATATTCATCTGTGTGGAGTCATGATGTGTTCATGTCTTCTCTCTGCCAAATCCCAAAGAAATCAGGACCTGCAATCACAAACTTTCTTGTTTTCTAACTTCATTAAGATTGGTTTACCAAGTAACCCAATTCTAGGAATAATTCATTAGATAAAATACATATGAGSACTTTATTTTCTAACAGTTGTTGATAATTGTTTTTTTTAAACCACACACATGCAACAAACACAGAGCTAGAACTGGAAGAGTACTTACTGATCCCTTTTCCATCACTCTGTTCAACATGACAACACCACGGCTCTTCTGTTCCCAAACCATCTCCCAAAAGTGACCACAAGTATTTGGCAAAGGACCCTGCACAGACAGAAACCCCAGAAATAAGCATTATTCTCTGCTAATGTTAGAGCAATGTTCCTTGGTAAAAGTCACTGCACTAGGCAATAAATTTGGGTAAGTAACAAGCAAACTTCTTATTTTAAACAGTAAACAAGTGGCACTACATCTTTAAGTTCCATTTTCCCACTGTGAATTCACCCACAGAAGGGCAGTAAATCTGTTTCCCACACATAACAGGAAGGGAGAAGTAGCCTCATTTGCGAGAAGAGAACTGGGAGTGAAAAACACTGAGAGAACTTTCTTAGGAAGGGCAAACAAGTAATGGGGAAATGAGTCCTCAGCAACAAACAGTGGAATTAAAACATATGTTCAGCTATTTTGCAATATTTCACTGTTATACACAACACTTGAAAAATATTAAATTGAATAAACATTCAGAAGACTTAAAATGCCAGCTCGCTTAATGAGCTAAGCAGGTTTCAGGCATTTTCATGGATACTGCACTGCTTGCTCTGGGACTAAACAAAATAGTAATTCCTTCTCAAGGACTATCCACTCATAAAATAGATTCCCTTAAAAACTAGTCCTTGTGCCGTGTTGCTTTACTCTTCTCTACTCCTGGATCACTGGCCTGAATTTTCACCAACACAAAACAACAACTTCATGCCTCTCATTCCTACCCAACACCTTTTTCTAAGAGACTAGCGGGTCAGGGTCTTCAGAAAGATTGACTAGATTTAAATAAAGCCACTCAAATCCATTAAATGCTGATCAAACAGATGACTGGAACAAGTTAGCTGTACCTCTGTCTGCTCTACCACAGATGATTCCCTTTTCAACAACATGATCAGTCTCGTTTGCCCGGAGTAAAGAAAATAAGAGTTATGTGCACAGAACCGGAAGGAAGAGCTGCTGATTTCTGCTTGGAAATATTAATCCCAGGCTACCTTTATCTAAAGTTGGGAGGAGGATAAAAAAATTGCCAAGATTAGAGACCAGGACTATCTCCAGGGAACTGAGCATTCTGAGCACAACAAAGATTCTGGCACAGAATGAGAAGTCAGGATATCTAAGCATTTGAAAATCTATTACATAAACAGGCGTGGAAGTCACAGATTTCGTGAAAACMAGCAACTTCTTCCCYCCGACACCCTTGTCACAGGAGCCTKTTTTCATGTTAAAGGTGAAGCATCACACTACCCAGCTTGTACCTTTTTGGATGCTGGGTTAACAGCTAAAACAAGTTACATGTAAATACTAACAGCACTTGCAGCAGGACACAACTACAGAGAGATGTTGAAGCATATTGCTTATTTAGGCTGTACACATCAGGGCTCTTAGAAATGAATTGCAAGTATAAGAAAATTTCTAGTATATCTTATGTAACTTCTGCCTCGTTCAACAATGTTCTTAATATCCATTACATTTAAAGTATGCTATTCCAAACAGATTTGGAAATTCTTGAAGTTCATATGTACAGTTCTCCTGTAAATGTGAAGCCTTCCTATTGAATGAAGTTCACTGCTCAGAGGATGTATAGGGGGACATAAGGCTGTAATGGTCCTTATGTTGGTTTTGCACATAGGAGAAATGTCATTCATTTCGACCACCTCCAAATGTTGCCTGTCACATGCCAATGCATCAGAAGCAGGTTTCTTCAAGTATGCTAGTTTCTCTTCTAAACCACAAGGTAGATGTGCTTAAACCTGGATATACAGAGGGACTGGGATCCTCTAGGGAAATGAGTAAGTGCTGACAACAGAAAAAAATAGGTATTATATCCATAAATTCTTCTATGTTTACAGTATGTTTCTATATCCACATTCATGGTGATAGAAACTTAATTAGTTCTAAAATACAGAAAACCAATGTGATGGGCTAAAGAAATCTAAAGAAAAACAATTCAAATCGCCATATGATTTCTACTATCCAYTGCCAGCAACTACCTGGGTGAGGATGTAGCTCCTTTGGGCCTCTTCCATTTTTATCAAACTTGCATTGATGTAGTCATTGTCACCTTTGTTTAGCTTAATTCGACTGTGATCAACTATAAATAAATAGAAAGCACTGGTTAATGTATATTGCAGCAGAAAACAACACATGCACAATCTCCTCAGATATTAAGGTCCTCCTAAAGAGGGAAAAGACCTTAATCAAGTATAGAGTGCGATACTTTTTACTCTGGAACTATAATAGAAAGACTGTGAAAACAACACTACACACCAAAACATTGAACATATTTGGACTTCATATATATTCCACCAGCAATTCACATGCTATTATTAATGCTGTTTCAACCACGATTCTTCTCTTTGATAAGCAATGAATAGTAAAGCAAGTTATTCTCTTCAGATTCATGCCCACAAATACAGAATCTATTGCAGATTACAGTATAACTCTGTGGATATAATGGCATTCTATGGCACCTATAGTGTACCAKTATTAACATAAAAATTGTCTTGGATTGTATCTGTATATGAGGAATATCTATTAAAGATGTCTAATAGAAATGTCTTCTAAATGAGACGTCTCACAAGCAGACTTCAGCTGCAAAAGGAAGTAATTAGAGTTCAACAGTCTGTTACAAACAATGGAAAAGAAAGGGTACTTACAGGGGCTGACATCTCGGTACCTATTTCTGTTTTTGTTTCTGGGATGTTTGGCCACTTTACATGGAAAGTCACTGGCTTCATGCCTGATGTCCTTAAAAAAAAATAAATAAAAAGTCTTAGATGTGAATCCTTCTAATATCATAATACCATTAGCTATTTTAAGACAACTATCCAATTAAAATGACATTTTCATACATTAAAGTTTTGGACAGTAAAGTCTTTGGGATTCCAATTAAGAACTGAATTTAAATCTATCAGAATACAGCACTARCTTTATTTGCATGTGAAAATATTATCTTGCATAATAAAACAGTAAAACATTCAGTAGTAGCACCAGACATAGTAGAACCAGACATTATGACTTTATACATCTGATGAAGCAGAGTTTCTGCCCCAAAGCACTTTCATATAAACTGCTTTATGCAGTTGTTTCCACTCCCAGTGAAACTATCAATTATTTTTCTGAGTCAGAAACAAATGAGAAAGAGTCCATTATGATAAAAAAACCTGCCTATCCCTCAGCATCAAATATACACACAGTGATGCGTCAACAGCAGCGTGCTAGTCATGCCCAAGACTACTGAGATCTGTATCTTATCAGCAAGATGTCCCAAACCTGCAAAGGGCAAGAACTATTTGCATCTAACACACAGGCACAACTAAACATGGGTACTGTCTCAAGCACACATTAAGGGTTTCCCCCAGGCTTTTTTGGATCCATGTTATACCTCAGACATCTGATACAACTTCAGAAGATACAATAAAAAGAATTCTAATCTCCTTGAACTTTATTCTCAATATGTAGACACAGAGCTTCACACCATAAACACACACTGTGTAAATATACAATTCTTAAAAAACAAAGTACTAGGATTTTCTAGATGAAGCTGTCAGGTTTCACCAAGATCAATGAAAACTGAGGCAAYAAGCTTACTATAAAAAGATGTTTAGATGGGATAAATCAGTTCAAGAAGTCCTAAGACGAACAATTTGTAAAAACACGTGAAATGAACATTTGAACCTAGCCCAGAGGCCATTCAAAAATACTCATTAAAAACTAAGCTTTCAGCTAAATCCACCCCTTTTCATAAGATGACAATGTACTTTGTTAAATATACTTATCTGAATGAAGCTGAGCATTACATTAAGCCATCCTCGCAGCTGCAGACAGCACAGTGTGGCCAGGGACGTGCACGGCCTGCAGTGCCGCGAGCRCCGCGGAGGCTTCGGCACGCGCAGGGCTGGACGTGCCCCCAGCGATAGCCCTGAGCAGCCCGGGCTCTGCCCTAAACTGTGACAGCTTTCCCACATCACACGAAAGGGACTTTACAGCACCTCAACATCTTAAAATACTGACCAGACTGCGATGTTTTTGTGGTTCTGTCAGTTTTGCATGAAGAATCATTGGGTATTTTCACCTTTCTCAACTCCGCTCTTGAGACATGTATTAATTTACACTGAATATTACATGTCAAGCTAAGGGTTCTATTTTACATCTACCTGCTCAAAATTAGTACAGTATTCTGAACTGGCTTCCCACTGAAATAAGCCCTGACATCAGCTGCTAGCTTTTTATAACTTAACACATGTCTGCTAGTATTTCTGCTTATGAAGAATGCAGTCTGGAGAATATGATCTCGACTGCCACAGTCTAATATCTCAAACATGAAGCAACTAAAATGGCTGTTTTCCCAAATCCATCCCTGACGCTAAGCTGGCAATTCTGCATTTTGCAGTTTCTTTTTTTCTTTTTCTGTCTTCTGTACTCACTGCACAGGATTAACAAGAGACAAAAACAAGGAACTTGGAAAAATAGTTTTCTAGCTTTCTAACCACACTTCCCACAGAGCCTACATATTTTTTTTGAGTGCAAAGAAACCTCTCAGGATCCATTTGAAAAGAAAATAGCAAAATACAATCCAAAATATAAGTTCTTAGGCTCTTTTTCTTTTTTCTTGATAAATTAGGGTTAAGATGGTTATTGTCAGGTTATTTTGGGAAGGACTAAAGAGGCGGCTAGTATCTCTCTATCCAAATACCAGATTTTTTTTTTTCCTTAGGATGCTAAGATGCTTAAATGTATAGAAGGAATAAATGAACTGAAGAAGATGCTAAGTTCACTTCCAGGATATAAGCTGACTGCAGTGGAAATCAGATGGTTTTCAACACAAGATTATTGAAGAGAAACACTCAAGRGACATGTTCTGTAAAAGTGTCTTATTGCTACAGGCTTTCCTGTACGTTCCTCTCAAGCCTCTGTTATCGGTTAGTGCAAGCGTCAGCGTTATCAAATTAGAAAACTACTGATGCGGGTGGTGAGACAGTTTCAAACTACATCAGTAATTCCACAACATCACCCTGCTGGGGAAGGCAGACTCATCCAAAGCATAGAAATGTTAGGGSTTGAGTGACCTGAAGCCAGAGATGTTGCAAGAACTGAAGTTAGCTGGTGAACACAGGGTTATTTAACACCTCCTTGAATCACACTTGTAGTCACACTGCAAAGATACCGTTATTTAAGAACGAAGCATGGTACTGCATTTAAAAGGTCACGTAATGTAACGCTTCAAAGAGGAAGAGCTAAAATTTCAGGCAGTTTTCCATAGTTAAATGCTTCTGGTTTTGAGCATGAGTCATTCCAAGCTACTCATCCCCTGGTTTTAGGTCCTGCACATGGTGCAAACAGCCCCGGTAACGTCAAGGGTGGAAAGAGGAAGCCTGAAGTGCTGTTTCTCACATGGAAGATTCTTCTTGCTGTTAAGCTGCAGCAGTGACTACAATGAGTTGTTCTTCAGTACTTTTCAGGTGGTTGCTCTCCATTCCATGGCTCTATCACATCTCCTGCTGCAAATACAGGACAGAATTCAAGGGATAGACGTCTGTGCTATYCACACAAAAGTTACAGGTGCTCTGAACACATTCTTGCTGTCCAGAGTTGTGGAGATGTTCAGCATGAAAAGTTGTGCATGGTGATGCAGTCCCTTGTCCCAAAGTCTCTGCACCTGGTTTCCTGACCCTTCTCCCAGCCTTAGTAATTCACTGCAGAGCCCACAGCCCTTCAATTTCATTCCTGACAGCCTTCAAAAATCCCCCGTTCAGTCTCTTAACCCTTAGCTGCTCTAGGGCTCTACATCTGTTAACTCCTCCTTCCCCCGATCAGTCCTTTAAGTCTTCCACGTTTTGCACTTGAGGTAGCAGAGTGAAATGAAAGCTGCTTTTTCTCAGATGTCTTTACAACTTATTATCAGAGTGGAAAAAAGTTAGTACAACTACATGAAGCAGCAAATACCTGTACAGAAGATCGTAAGAAAACCAGATAGCAGTAAGGGGTCCAAAATAAGCAGCTACTGGATATACATAGGAAAAGGTCTTCAGATTCTGTTTGCAAGGTAGAAAATTTAGTTGCTGAGAAACAGTGAACTGACCCCTTCTCTACAAAAGGACCTGGCTAACACACAAAGCATATAAAGCACAAAGCCAAACCCAACTTCTCTGGACTTCCTGCACCACAAGACACTTGATATCAGGACATGTGGATGGGTATGAGAAATGAGGATGTAACTTGTAGCTAACGAGGAACTCGATGTGCATCCAAAGCCCAAGAGATGCATGGACAATCACATAACAATAACCATAACAACATGCTTCAGAATTTCTACCAAATAAATTAAATACATGCCAATTTTAAACTCCTTTTGAACACTTTATATAGTCTCTCAGTTTTGTTTTCAATGAATTACTATGTCTAATTAAGATGTCTCCAAAGAGCCAGCAGGCTGGCATGCTGAGCCTCTTCCAGAGGTCAAGCTCTGTGACACAGAAAAAGGAACAGGCTTGTTTAAAGTTCAACAAAACGATTACGTTAGTTTAAAAAAAAAAAAAAAGTCACACACTTGCAACACGGTTTTCCTAGAAAGCCCCTTGCTAATTCAGCACTCTGGGCCCTCTGGAACAGGTTGTGGCTGTGCAGCGTAAGCAGCGCTCGCACCGCGACCGTCAGCTGGTCCTGGGCACGGAAATAACCCCCCAGGAGAACGCAAACGAGGAACGAGCACGTTATTAAATCATATCAGCACTCGGGAAGGACATGAATTCCTTCTGGGCCCGTCTTCTTTTTATCTATCAAGTATTATCAACTATATCTCCCCATCAACTTGTTCTAACACATCCACCTGTAAGAACTTAAGAATTCTGAAGGTTAATCCTGCARTATCTGCTTCATCATGGTGTAAAACTGAATAGTGTAAAAGTTCCACGAAACACYCACACTCAAACCATTCTCAGCATAGGTATGCACTTGAATAAGGGAGAAGGCCACACACTTGTGTCACTTATCTATCTCACTATCATTATATCTTTTTTTWAAAATAATATATTATATATATTGCATGTTGTCAAAAGGAAAATATTTCTGCAGTATAAATCATTGCAGTGTCACAGAATTCAGTTGCTTGGATTCTCATTCTTTCTTGTCTGGTCTTTTTTTTGAGGGTTGATGYAGAGCAGTGGCAATTAGAGACTGATTCCTCATGCTGAGCATTGTGTGAAACTCTAAGATTTGGTTAAAAAATAGCACGAACCTTCTCAAATGTCAGTAAGTTCAAAATACAGTTTGTCCTTGAAATTTATGACCCATAACAGAAGTTGTTCACAGGAGCTGGCAGGAACATTTGGCTTCTGGTGTTCTGTAGCAACGTACTCACTGCCAAAACAGGAAACAACTGAATGGAGACTCAGTGTAAGAACATAAGCCAGGTTCTCCCCTCATTTTCACGTTTATCTCAATTTTTTCCCCAGCAATTCAATCCACTCCAGAAGTCAATCTGAGATTCTTTGGAAGGACAGAGACTTTTGAGAAGTCTAAATGGTTTTCTTGACTGCTGTTTTGCAAAGGAAAAGCTCTGCTATCTTTCTCATCAAACAAAGTCAGTGCCAGGAAATAAACCACAGTCTTATTAAGCGTTCTTATTAAAGAGGTTTTAAGCAAGTTACTCATCTCCTATAAGAAAAATAATCATGGAGATGAGATCCAGATCTGGATTTTCCCAAACATCAGGGGTTTCCAGATAAATTTTTGTTTAACTTCATCTT